ACGCGTCTGCTCCGACGCCCTGAATCGATAAATATTATAATTAATAATTAATAACTGTAAAATAGTCATTATAGATATTTAATTATAGTGTTTTTATGATTGAAGAATCGGTTTCAGATTTGGGTTCTCAGAGGTTTATTTTATTTTATATTTAGTAGGCACTAGGCACCAATAATTTTTAGTTTAGAACCAAAAAGTTTTATTTACACAACGAGGAACTGCAGTTTTACGGTTCATGTAAATTTAGTACATTAGGTATTTTTAAGTTTATTAATAATTTAAAAGGGTGAACCGGAAATGATTTAACGAGAACAAATTATAATTATATTAAACTAAAAACCGGGAACGGTAATAAAAACAAGCTAGGGCCTTTAGGTTTCGAGCCTTAATAATATAGTATAAAATTATATTATACATTTACTTTTTTATGCATAACACATACCTATGCCATATCAATAAATACGCAATTAATAGTAATTTATACATAATAGTATATTATTCCTTAACTACAACCTAGCGTTTACTGACCCAGCATAACTAAATATATAATAATCATCGTTATATCAATATAATATTACGTAATTCGACAATCGTGGATCGAATACTAATATAATGTTATACGACTGTCCATATTAATTTAACGCATCAGTGATGTCGTATTTCTATATACGTCGAATTTCGATGAATTGTTAATATTAATAATTATATATTTATATAATATTTTATCCTTTATCATACCATTATAATAATAATATTATATTATGCAAAACGATACACCGAGCTAGGGCCGTCGGAAAAACATTGATTTTATCGGTTGAGAAATTGCTACCGCCCACACACCTTTGCCGCTGCCCACCCCCCTCAACCATGGTCATCCCCTTCCTGCGCCGGTGTGCAGTGCCACCGCCGCCACCGCTGCCGTCTGACGAGTAAGCGCCATTCTGGGTCATATCGTATTGATATTTCGCCACGTTTCCCGCCGTCGTCGTGGTCGACGATACCGCCTCCACCGCTGCCACTGTCGCCACTGCCGCCACTGCCACTGCCACTGGTGCCGTCGACTGTGGTCATGGTCGCCGTATTGTACGACCACGATTGCCGCCGCCAGTCTCACTAATTAACATTAACCCACGCCACTGACGCCCCGCCGATACGGACGGAATGGATGTGCGTGGGCGAGGAGAAGGCTGCCTCATTTCCGCCCCTATATGTTCTTATCTCTCTCGTATTATCTCGTGTGCGTTTGTTTTCCCTTTTTCCCTCCCTCACTAAACGACTCTACACGCGCACGCACACTTATAGGTATACGGTATACGATTATTATACCCATTAGACACCATTCGCACGCGATTTTTTTCTCCTTTTTTTCCTCTCTACCTTTCGCCAAAATCACTCTAAAAGATTATCCTTTAGTTGGTTGTTTTTTTTTCGTCGGCTAAAATTTTTGCTTTTCATTGTGGACGAGTAAAATGTCGTTTTTTTTTCTACGTTTTTTGTCTGTGTATTTTTATTTTTGTTTGACGGTTTGAAATGACAATGGAACGCGTGCATCTCCGATCAATTCTAAAAGTTTAAAACTCTAGACTTCTTTTCTGTTTTCATGATCCCTCCTCCATCGTTTCCACTCACACGATCTTACAGTATTTTACGGTATTAAAAATGTATATTAAGAGGATATCACCCGCATGTGTTATCTTTGACTAACTTATTCATAATTTAACCAATTTTAAGTTCAGAAGAACTCATTCTACTCTGTTATTTTAAATTTGATAGTAAATTAGTAAATCGAACTTTTACGAAAATTTAAAAGTTACGAATACTATTTAGATCCTCAAGTTTAATTGCTATTATATTTTAATTATTCATGTGAATTGAGCATAATGAAATGTACAAAATTACAGTTTTAAAACGCCCATAACTTGCTTTAAAATTATTGAAATATCATAAAGGTAAAACCCTAAAATGGTAATAAATTTTTTTAAGATTGATAATATAGGTCAATTTATTTACTATAATATTAGAAAAAACTATGTGAAATGTATTATTTTTAACTTGAATTTTACTATGCTATACTTTAATAATACTGAGACAACACATACGGGTATGACGTCGTTTTCATAAAAAAATCTTTAAAACTTTTAAGAATATATCAATGGGACACAATATATTATGTATTATAATTTATTTTTATTTATTTTTTCTGATTTTCTGGGATTAGGGTCGTTCTTTATATTATACATAGGCTTTTGTAACTTTCTCTTTTCTTACATTTTCAATAAACTTTGAGCGTATGGTTATTGATTTTCTTTAAAGTAAATATTTCACTTTATACTTTATGGATGTAGAAAATATGTTTGCAATACTTTTTTTTTCATTTTCCATTGTAGTCATTTTACGCCACGTAACCGCGTAATATAATAGACATTATATTTGTATTTACTGTACCTATCTAGATAGGAGTTAAGTAACAAGACACGATATTATTTATTTTATATTTTTTGAAATTATATAATAAAATACTTAATATAAGTAGTGAACGCGTGTCTTGAGTAATATATAAGTTTCGTAAATCATTATAATTCTGTTGAAAAATGTTATATATTTTTTTTAAATGGGTACTTTTGAACGGAACTTGTAGACGTAAAACCCACATTTAAATATAAAATAATATTATACATAATGTGGTGCATGCATGATGTTATATATTTTTTTAAATAATAATATTAAAAACGTATCGTTAAAACTTGTAACTATCTGAGTCTCGTTTTAAATCATACCTATATTTAATGGAAAATAAATATATTAGAACAATAAAATTCTAAACTTTTACGATTTACTGATTTACTGTTTAAATAAATAAAATAAAAAAACTAGATTACAATCTCAATGGATGGATTTCTGGTTTATCCTATTATATAGATAACAAAATAGTTATTTCGATATTATAATAGAATTAGACATTATTTCTTATTTTAATACCACTGTTAGTATCGTTTTCTTTTTAACGATTATTCGTCAAATACATTGGTTAATCGCATTTACCTGTAATCGCTTCGTACTTAACGTACTGTAAAGTTTCTATGTAGTAACCATTTCTCTCGAAATGTCTCTGCTATCGTTTCGGAGGTATATTATTTGCATCTCGTGACTATGTTTGATATTATTACTTCTTATCATAACGTTTTTAGTGTTCTATATTTTGTAAAAAAAAAAAATCCTATGCTAGAACACTTTATAGAACTGATGATATGGTGTACTTTTAATATAAGTATTATATTATTTTAATTGTCACATATTATAATATTTGTTCGTGAATTGATATTATAATTATATTATGTCCCAACGCGTCTACAGTCGGTGTGGTTTCATTAACGTCACAGGGATCCGATAAATTATTAAATAAAGCCGGTTGGTGCTCTGCAGAAATAAGTGTGTGGAGGTATGGGTGAGGGATTTTTTATGTGAGGGTGTGTAGAGGGGCACGTGACGCAAAAACGGAACGTTTGAAAATGACAAATTGCTATAACTAAATACGCAGCCGCCGCCGCTGGCACGACACGGCGGTCATGGATATATATATAGAAATAAATATGTCGTGGGATTATTCGGGCAAAATGATTAATAGCAGGGTGGCATGTGATATCCTCCTCGACTCTCGAGCCACAACCACTCCTCCGTTTTGTCACTCTTTGCCTGTAAACGTTTTGTGTTTATTTTCTTGGTTTTTTTTTTTTTTTACACCCAAACACACCTAAACAACCACCATGCAACAACGACGCCCAGAGAGGCTTCTCTCGTTTTAAAACCACCGTCGTTCGTTACACTGGAGCACAGCACCCCATCAACTACATCGGTTACGTTACGAACTCGACGGCAGCATATATGCTTATTTTTTTCCTTTTTCATAATATATACATAATATAATATATTATTATGTATTTTTTTTTATTTTTTTTTAACTTAACGAGTTTATTATAATGTATTACGACACTTATTACTACTCTAAACCACGAAATTGGATATCCATTAGGAAGCTGCAACCTGTAGGGCCGAGGCAATAACTCACTCACGTAGGTATACTCATATCCAGAAGATGGTTATTATTTATAAATTTCTACTTTCTCGTGAATTTCGATAAAAATCTTTTACAATACCTAGTGAGTATTCCGTTCAAAAATAAGACCGACAAAGCAGCACAAAAACAATCTTATAACAAAGTGTTTGTCATGCTGACAACGACTAGAATGTTTATAATTTATAATTACATATAGATGTGGATGATATTTTTCCATTTTTAACATAAATAATTAAATATAAACAAAATATATGCATATATATCTATGTAGATTAAGTCCAAAAGTAAAATATAACTTGCGATAAGGGAGAGGAAATTATAAAAAATAATTAGGGTATAGATTTGAAATGTATAGTTTCTTTATACAAATTGAATAAATAATAATAATATATAATAACTAATTATACTAATTACATATTTATATAAATCAATGCATTTAAAATATGATTTTGAGATGAGAGGTCAGATAAAAACGCTCTTGCTGAACTTTAAACCTAATGTGTTTACCTACCCACTTCTGTAATTTTTCATTGTAAGTACTAAGTTAAAGTCCTATAAAAAAAATTACCTTCACAAGCAAATAAAACAACCTCACCGTTATATAAAATCTGCGATAAGAGGTAAAATAAATACTCTCGATACTTAATCGATATTAAAATAATAAGTTTAATCCATTAGCAGAAAATTATGAGAAACGATGACAATTAATTCGATAAAAAAACGTTTTAATGGTTGCGATCATAATCATAATCAAATATTATTAGGTGTTTGTTTGCATGCCTAACTTTATTTTTTGAATTTTAATTAAGGAATTATTGTTTTAAATACCTCCGAATGCGTAAAATATACTGTTATTTGACATATGATATTAAATTTACCGTTTATCACTACACGTAAATTTAATGTTTGTACCATTGTGTTTTAGATTCCTATACCATGCAGACCACAGAAGACATTTTCAGTTTTGGTTTATGAGATACCCGAAGACATTCCCGATGAAGACATTCGCCATTCGCTGTATAAATTTCAAACTGTCGTCGAGGTCGTTAGACTTTATCATGCCGGTAATTTTTAATACAAGCCACATAATACAAAACCATTTTAACTCTCAATAAAAACAACATTTATTTAGGAAATAATTCAATTTAATTAATATTGTATTGCTATTTGAATACATAATTCAATATATTTTTATATAATACATATTCATAAGAAATTAGTAAGTGCAGCTACTGATTTGGTAGGTGGAAGATGTATTTTAAACGACAAACGTGGCACGCTACTAGATATTTACCACTACGGAGAAAATTTATAAATCATAAATATATTGTATCGATAAGATTTAACCATTGATTGTACATATATGGGAATTAGGTAATTTTTACTTTTTATTCGTTACTATAGCGATAAGCAAAGCTCTACTCAAAATCAGTTAGAATATAAAACTATCTGTACCCAGTCGAAATACTTATTTATGCTGAACTATTCTAACTACCCATGGGAGGTATTCGCTTTGGGAGAGGGTCATGTCTTCGAATGTCATGTTTTCGAAAGAAATATTTTTGAATGACGAGTGTTGGAAAAGTTATTTTTTAGAATCGTAATGTAATTGAAAAATTATTTGTTCGAATAGATATGTCATCGAAAAGTTGTAAGTACAAAAATTATTTATTCAAATTAAAAATCTAACTAATATTTTAAAAATTAATAATCTTATATAATAAAACGCTAATAACGCGTATAAGATCCGCGGGGAGCGCTCACGGCACTCCGCGTTTCTTCCATGACGACCAATCACAATACTTCCCGCGCGTTCGCTATAAATTCCGCTCGCTTATCTCCCTTTTCCTTATCGACGAATATTTTCGAACATTATTATTATTATTATTATTAAAAAAAAACCCGTGTTTTTCAATTTTTTGACGTGATAATAACGTCTTATAAATCGATTACCCCGCGACCGTCGGGCGGAGTGGGGGGACCCATTAAACGAGTAATTATTTTTGACCAAGTATAACTTAGCCGGTATTCGACTTAGAGACCCCGTACCAATGGGCATCTCAATTTTTTAGGCCCCAGATGAATTTTCAACAATAGGGAACCAAAGCCCCCACCCCCCCCACATTTTGAGTTGAGTATAACTCGGCCGGAATTCAAGTTAAAGACCTCGGACCAAGGGGGAACCCATTCTTTTTATGAATACTACCGTTTTCCGTTTTAGGGAACGGGGGCACCTCCTCCCCCCCTTTTTGGATTTTGCTTTTTTGATGGATTTTGGTCCGGGAGAGTACTAACACCCACCTCGCCAAGGGGAAACTCGGGGTTTTGAGTTTTTGATAGGATTTATTGGGATTTTCTTAAATATTGTTTTTATTGATAAGGAAAGTGATAAGAATTTTATTTTATCGCCGCGAGCACGGCGACGCGGCTTAAGAGTCATACATTTGCCTCGAAATTTCATCTGAGTAGGTGGCTAGGTTGTTTAGGCGTTAGGAAAGGTGACTCGAGGGTCGTGGGTTCGAAACCGCCTTCCGGGATTTTCGGTATTTTGCGGCGGCCGTACTAAATCGAATTTCTTATTTTTGCGTTTTTTTTTTTTCGTCACATTTATCATTTTTAACGAAAGTGTTAATTTTTTTTTAAATTTGCATTATATTATTATATATATTATTATTATTCGTTTGACGATATTTATTGGGCAAAAAAATTATTATAATTATCATTTACTGACGCACCTACATGTTTTTTTTAAATTTGCATTATTATATTATATATATTATTATTATTCGTTTGACGATATTTATTGGGCAAAAAAATAATTAAAATTAACATTCAATTAATACTTGATTTTACCGACGCACCTACATGTTTCTTTTATTAACACATTATATTAACGTATAACTAACCTACGTGTAGTACCTACTTGATATATTACAGTTTTTACGTGATTCCGATTTGGTTAAATACTGCTACAGATTATAAATACTATATTAAAAAATAGTACGACTATATTTTCCGTTTTTTTCGAAAATTCGAGTCCCGGGGTGGAGTAGTGTGTCAGAAACGAGAGTAGGTACCGTGTAGGTATCGCTATATACAGGCATATATACATGCGCCTCGAGGTTCGATTTTTTTCGCAAATCTCGCGTCTTGAACGTCCGAAGGTGGCGGACATGGTGGTCCGCTCAAACGCCCTTAAGAGTCATAGATTTGGCTCCTAATTTCATCTCGGTAGGTGGCTAGGTAGGTTAGGCGTTAAAACGGGTGATTCGACGGTCGTGGTTTCGAACGCCGGCGGGGCCGTGTTAAATCGAATTTCTTTTTTTTGCGTTTTTTTTTTTCGTCACATTTATCATTTTTAACGAAAGTGTTAATTTTTTTTTTTAATTTGCATTATAATATTATATATATTATTATTATTCGTTTGACGATATTTATTGGGCAAAAAAATTATTATAATTAACATTTACCGACGCACCTACATGTTTCTTTTAATAATACATTATAATATAACTAACCTACGTGTAGTACCTACTTGATATATTATTATATATATATTTTTGATAGGATTTATTGGGATTTTCTTAAATATTGTTTTTATTGATAAGGAAAGTGATAAGAATTTTATTTTCGAAATAATTTTTGCCCCTTAAATTTATAAATTTATAAATTCCATTGTGATTTCCATTTACCTCCTTCTCTATATACATACAAATCTATGGTAAATCTATGGGGGACGAGGTGGCGGTCGCGGGTTCGATTCTCTCGACCACTGGGCGGCATTTTTCTCCGGGCAAGTCACGGTGTCCGGAGAACAGGGGGCACTCCGTGGCATGGCAGAAACCTACGGGTGTCCCCATTGGAAATTCTGCCAAAAATGCTACCATTCCTTCAGTATTTTCTTAACACGTTGTCACGTTCAACTATCGTCAGTAAACCGACTTTACAGACAACCGATTTTTTCTTTGCATTACTACTACATAATAATTGTTTTTAAAATCTTCTAAAATGTTATGTTCGCTTTAATAAATTTTATTTTGAATTTTATTATCGTACCTAATCAAATTTTATATTTACTAACTGCCTGTGTAAGGCGATTCTTGGCGTTGTGGAAGCCGCAATTAATCAGAATTTCAATAATATATTAAAAATATAAGTAGTTTGAATGCACGTATTAGATAGACATTTTTCATGAGTATTGCAGTATATTTAACTATTATAGCTAAGAGTTTTAGTAGGACCTTGGTATGTCGATTGTTTATGACAATGTCGTTACATACATAATAATGTAAGTAATAAATAAGTAAACATGAAAAGACTACAATAAATTCAATACATTTTAATTTCTTGAAACATACATGTTATGTAATATTATGCCTCGGGGGGCACCGTTCGGACCTTATTCGCCTTCCCCGCTAGATTTATAAGCCGCGCGCGGCCGTACTTTTTTCCCGTCGGCCCCGCCGCCGCCGAGATCGAGTGCAATAGGCGCGCCGCCGTCGAGCGCGTTTTTTGTCGTTTTTTTTGAAAATTGGAGTTTTAGGCGTTTTAGGGAGTATCGACCTCCCCGTTTGGATCTTATTCGCGTTCCCCGCTAAATTTACAGTCGGCGCGCGGCCCTACTTTTTCAAAAACGAGTCCCCCGGCGGACGATTCGATCGCCGAGAGCGCCGCGTCGTCGCCGTTTCGACGGTTTTCTCGACTTTTTCGACTAGAGTCGCGTTTAGCAACTCTACGAGACGTTCGACCTCCCCGTCGGGGACGTATTCGAGTTCCACGCTAAATTTATACCTACTTACCTACTTTTTCAAAAACGAGTCCCGGGGAGGAGCGGCGTCGCTTAAACGAGAGTAGGTAGGTTCCGCTATATACAGGCATAAATACGTGCGTCTCGAGGTTCGATTTTTTTGCAAAACTCGCGTATTATACGTCCAAGGGCGGCGGAGCCGGTCGTCCGCTCGCCGAAGAGGTCGGATCGCGCGCTCAAACGCCCTTGGACGGCCTTCCAAACGGCGTTCGCCTTTCGCTGGGACGGCGACGCGGCTTAAGAGTCATAGATTTGACTCCTAATTTTATCTCGGTAGGTGGCTAGGTAGGTTAAGCGTCAGAACGGGTCACCCGACAGTCGTGGTTACGAACCCGGCGGCCGATTTAAATCGAAATTCTTTTTTTTTCGTTACATTTATCATTTTTAACGAAACTTACACCCCCACTGCAACCGACACTCGGGAATCGACTTTTACCCGAGATGACTGATAGCTAGACACTCAAACTCAGAGAACCCGAATTTCCGATTTCAACACACATACGAGAACCGGACATACACGCTCGGGGCATGGTCTGCGATCCGACGTAGTCGGATTGCCTACCTGACTAGCTACTTGCATACGAGCGACTTACACCCCCCCTGCAACCGACACTCGGGAATCGACTTTTACCCGAGATGACTGATAGCTAGACACTCAAACTCAGAGAACCCGAATTTCCGATTTCAACACACATACGAGAACCGGACAAACACGCTCGGAGTATGGTCTGCGATCCGACGTAGTCGGATTGCCTACCTGGCTGGTTGTGTTGTACGATCGACTTGAATCGCGTGACTTACGACTAGACACTCTTCCGAGTTCAGAAATTACCACTTAACCAGTGCTGCCAACACGACAAAACACAATACCCGACGACCCCCCCATTCCCGCCGCAAGCCGGATCAAAAAACCCAGCATCGCCGACAAAGATGCACCACCGCCCACACAGTCTTTCCGCCGCAGGCGGGATGACAAACGCCAAAATCTAGTAATAATATAAAAAAACATTATTTGTAAAAATATATGCAGTTAAATATCATTAGGTAATTAAAAACTTAAATTATATACAATAGTTTTTAAAAACTCCAATTTACAATGAGGATTGACGTTTATTCGTTGATGAATTAATTGCAATCTGAGATTGAGTTCCATATCCATATTTCTTCTTCTTTATTTGTTGACCAGATATTAACAATTCAATCTGTGATTCTGTATCAATTTGAAGTTTTTGCATGATTGTAATACATTTGTGAAGC